ATATGAAGTGTAGTCCACTGATGCCAAACAGATTTTTATTACTATTAGAAATTTCCCTGAAGTATTTTTATCATCCTTTATGTTGGGTATTCCCTTAAGTCCTAACATCTTTAGACTATTCGTCAAACTTTCAGTAGAATAATTTTTGATAAATAAATATTTCAATAAAAAAAAAGTTTTAGAGTAAAATTAATAATCATGAACCTTGATGATGTCGTAAAGATTCCAAAAATACAAACCTTGAGATTGATCTTCACTGTCGAAAAGAATGAAGTTGAATACTGGATATGGTGGATATTTTGCGGCGTCCATCTTATTCATTACTACTTCACTATCTCCCAATGTATCAAAATTCTAGCCCTTTAACAATTAAACTTATATTTTAATTCTGTTTAAGATCTGCTTAAAATCAAAAGCAGTCTATTTATTTTTTAACTTTGTTGAGCAAATAGCCTAAACTCGGATGTAGGTCAAGTTCAAGAACTTGAGAAAAGCCAGAAAAACGGAAGTTGCTTGAACATCTATCTTGTGGGATTTATACAATATCTGTGCCTGAATCTCATGAATTATGAGTCAGGTTCGTATTTTCACTTTAATACCATTGTACCATAAAATAAAAGCGGTGTTCAATAAATAAGAAGAATGATAATGTTGTATTTACGTAATAACAACAAAAAATATTTTTCCTCATATTCTTGCCGAAAGTTAACATTTCTCTCCCAGTTTTCGAGCCTACAACTTAAGGAGTAATAACATGCCCAAGTAAAAAGCGCTCTATCTTGTTCTCTAGGTTACAGTATACTATTATTTATTGGCATTTTTACTCAAAGATAAGTTATTTTCATGCAGCTAAAATATACTTCATCAGCAAAATTTTTATTAAATAAACTGATGTACCGAAGTAATTATTGAAGAATATTTGAAAAAAAATAATAATTTTTTATATAAAATATTGAAAACGTTTTTCAAAATTACTTTTTAATTAATCTGAAAACTCTTTATTACAAATTGATTAATTAAAATTTTATCAAAATGTTGTTTTTACACTAACCATCATTTCCCTTCATCCATATTTCAGTCCAGATATTAAATACTGATGAAAAACGGTTTGATATTTTAAGTCGCATGTCGAATAAATTTTTAAATTGATCAGTACTTTCAGATTACATACACGCATTGATAAATATGTAAAGTATTCAATTACTCGTACAACGGAATGAAAGTATAACGATAATCCTCATGGTATTATTCAGTATTAACTAAATCCTCACAAAATTTTAATGAAAATTATTATTGCTAATTTTTAAGCCCATAAAATAGACAGCCGAACTTTTCGAGAGGGTCGACAAAATTGTTTTCTACCACAAGACTTATAGTCAATAGCCTCTCTTGCCAAAGAACCCTCCTTGCGATCACAATCAACTCAGTTTACGAGGCAATCACCGTGGGGATAGATTTCAACACCCTCCTCACTCCTGTACTTTCAGTTTTTTTATCTCCCTCTCACTCTTCAAGAGGTAGACATTACGCGTTCGTACCTCTGACGATAAGTAGGGTCATTTTCACGATTCACGGCAAACTATAGGGAAAAAGAAGAACGTTCACAAGAGTGAAAACAATAATAGTAAAGAAACAAAAAAAGAATGAAAGAAATAAAATTCACTATGGCAATCATAACACAAAGGGATGATGAAACACAAGCGAGAAAGCCTTAAAAATATAAACTCGTACTTCTACAGCTGTAATATTCTTCAGATTATCCGTTCATTCCCTTCATGTTTTTCACTAAGGCAGAGTGAAAAGTCGTCGATGAAAAATCGTCTGAGCTTTCAACAAGACACGTTGGGATTTTACTCTTTTCTTTCCATCTTTTACTTTCACTGGGGATATAAGACCTTACGGTAACTTTGTAGACGGGTTATAGAAATCTCTCTCCTTTGCTTCAGCATCTCCAACACATGCAAATGTATGTATGTATAGCCGATCAAATTGGTGATTCTAGGCTCAATAAACAGGCCTCTGTGTATCAACCCTCACATCATCAAATGTTACTTGAACACTGGTCATCAAGTACACGCAACAATAAAGCTACTCTTGACATTTTACCTATATGTCAATGAATAAAAGTTGAAGTATTTTTGTCTTCCACTTCAAGTCTGTAGGAAAATTACTTCGTAAATATTATTCAGTTTTTATTTGCACATTCTACCAATGGTATGAATGAGTCAATAGCTATTAACGTTTTTTTTCTCTATTGTTTTCAATGATTTTTGTTTAATAAATAAAAGCCAAATTTTTGGAATTATTTGAATTAGTTTGTAAAAAAAAATACATTTTAATTGAAATTGGAAAAAGAAGATGATTAATAAACGTTGGTTACTACTTTTGTTCCATTTTCTCATTCATTACATTAGTAAATAATAATTTCAAAAATGAATGATTAAAAATTAATGAAATAACTAGTTATGAACTGATCTCATCAATTCTAGAAATAACTCATTGAAAGAAGAATATTTACAATTATTGAGTTAATTAAAAAAAAATTTTTTAATTTGATTAGATAAGTTGGTGAAACACTTTAATTAGTTATTTCAATAAAGATTAGTTTATTTAATTAGTTACTTCTTAATTTGCACATCTGAATATGAATTAAAAACAATTAAATTTAATTTTTCCCTTTATTTCAAACTATTAATTGACATGAAATTTTATTATCAGAAAACAATAACAACATCTAGGATAGATTGAATTAAACCTTCAAACTAAGAATGGATTCTAGAGATCTAATTAAATCTGCTTTGATATATTTAATTTAAATTCAAGATTTGATGAGATCTATTCAAATCTCGTCATCTGTTTTCAAACTTTTATCCAGTTCATAGTAGAAACAAATATAATTTCCATTAAAATAATATAATTCATGAGCATCTAGATCTGTTTTCAGAAAACAATTTGCATTATCTTGCATAAGACTGATAAAAATGAGTAACATGTTAACGATAGTTGTAAATGGACAAGATCAATTATTTTAAAGAGCATGATGATAGCAACAGTTATATGTAATGTTGCCATGAGGGGTAAAATGGTGAAGGTTCAAACGTTGGTCATACTCTAGCTGGAAGCCATACACGTACTATGATAATGAAACATATGGGTTGAGTAATAGATTCACATTATGCTACACTAGGGACTCACACGATTCATGACGTATTGCTGAAGCTCGACGAGCTTAAACAGCTTGCACTAATTTAGCATCACTGTTTCCCCGTGTTATGAAAGCTTGTCACCGTAAATGTAAGACGTAGTTTATGCCACTTCGATTCCATCTGGTATGAATTCAACTCAAGAAACTGAATTCACTAAACCACACACGATACAGATAGTACCAGGGTTAATCGTATAGCATGAGCATTGTAAGCATCCATCAGATTCTACCTTGATGGTATATATTTGCTAAGCCGGATCATAATGAAGTACATATGCGATTGACGAACAGCATCATAACGTTCAAGAATCTTGCTAAGCAAAACATCCAAATGAAAGATATTTTGATGCTAAATAAACTACAGATAAGATATTCTAGTTATGTGAATCTCACGTCTTCGCTATTACACAGCAACTTAACGGCAAGATTGTTTCACAAAGTTCATTTGCATTTACGTGCGTAGCTTAAGCCGTTTTACCCAATCCACAACCACCATTTCTCTTTCTTATGTCGGTGAATTCGTACGCGAGTTATATATCTTAGACATAAATACGGTATGAATGTACATCTCTTGATCGACCAAGATACTTGTACATCATTTGCAACATGTGTAATATCTTGTCGTGCAATCACGTCATTCTATCAATTTACTTGAACTCTTGGTTTCAGAGTAATCTGATATTTTGTAAATAATAATAATGATGAATGAATTCATTATTGGCAGAAAATTGGGTAGGGAAAAAGTAGAACAATTACCAATTCTTTAGGGAATTTTTCAGTCAAATGGAAAATTATCTAGAGAATTTTTACATTAGCTTATTATCATTATCTCTTTTTTTTTGTAATTATTTCATGTAATCATGATTGCCTAAAAAACGATAAATAATTAGCTGAAGAAATATTAGTTGAAAATATTTTCTTTCATGAATTGCATTTTTGCTTAATTTATAAATTATTCTTTTTTTTATACATTAAAAAAATAATTTAATTACCTACCTCATCATTTAACGATCGAAAAATGCATAACAATCAAAATTAAATCAGATCTCAACTAAACGTTAACTTCAAATGAAGCTGTCTAATTTGAAATTCAATTGTTAATTATTTTAATCGTTTAATTTTCTTTTGAATCAATGAATTAGAAAAATTGAGCAAAGAATGAAAACTTAAAATATCTACAGCTTCTTCATTTAACACATATCAACAAAATATTCTAACGTGTTCAATAGCATAACATTATTAGTGAGATATGTAAATGTCATAAATATGTATTTAGATAAAACCACTTATATTACGTACAAATATCTGGCAGCTGAGATGCTTCTGATAGAAACCGAAACTGATGCAGTTTGCATGTCAGCATGACACGTTCTGTCGACAGCTAAGAGGTTGAGAGCCACGAAAGTTACAAGAACTCTTGAATTCCTTCATTCAGGAATTTGACTCAATGTCATGATGGTAATGGGCATTAAAGTGTTTGAATTACCTTCACAAATTTTTTCATTTTTTATTCTCCTGAATTTTCAACGTTTTATATATCTTGAAAAGAAATGTCGAGCGTAAGATTGCATTGTAACCATATAACTGTGCACATTTTTCATGAAAAACTATTTGTCTTTCGTTTTATTCACTTTAATATTACATTTGTAATTTATAAATACAGCAATAACCATTAATAAAATAGTATATTCTCACAGTAATCGTTAGAAAAAAAAAAAATTAAATTTAATCAATCGTCAGAAAGAAGACTGTGATAGATATCAACGAACGACGAGACTCAAATATCTTCTTTCAGGAAATATCAGCGACTCAGTTTTCATCACCTACATGACAAGTAAGTGGTAATGACAATGGTGTTGAAGAAATTAATAAAATTATTAAAAATATCATTTTATTTATTTATTCTTTAATATTTTTAACAACTATAAAAATCTTAGTTTTAAAACAAAAAATGCACTCAATGTTTTAATGAATTTTCCATCACTTTTTGAGTTGTTCAGAAAAAAGTAGGGTAAGATGGCCATGCTAGTTTATTATGCCATGTAACTTCTTTTAAATATTGTTACTTCAACATCTAAAAAATACATTTGTAAGAATTAATAATCAAAAAAAGATCTTATTATTAAGATCATTACGTTAAAATGTTTGTTAAAAAAATTTTTGTAAATATTTAAGCACTCAAACACTAGCATGACATCATTCTCCTACTTTCTGCTAATTCTATTTAATTCTCATCGAATTAAACAACAAAAAAACATTCACTGGGAATTAAACTAATTAAATAACTCAGTACAAATCGATCGGATTAATAATAAACTACTAATTATCAGTGATAGACACTACATTGCTTAAATCAATGATTCTCAACTGATTTATTTGGAGTGAGTAAAGAAGAAATAGAACAAAGTGCACATGCATCCATAAATAAATCGATAAATGCATTATCCTCCTTTGTTTAGCTCCATCAAATACTAATGTAAACTTATAAATTAATAAAACAATGGCAAATTTTTCATCCTATTAAATTAGAAATTAATTTAACATTTTTAGTCGTTTTTTGTAGAAATATGTCTTGTTTAACATATTATTTATCATAAATTATTGAAAATACTTAACTTTCCTTGCGACATAAGAACTTTAATCGGTCTGTTTGGGTGAGCGCACAGTTTCGTTTCTCTCACATTCAAGTATAATCGTACTTCTCATCTAAATTTCAAATTTTCTAATGTGTATTTTTGACCTGGCGTTGCTCGTTCTTATCGGCGAGAGTGTAGTTTGAAATTTAAATCTGCAAACCTCCGGTTACGAACTTTCAAATGTTTTCTATACGTTTCAACGCGCACCTCTTTAATTTCCTATGCACACTCTATTGATTTTTTTTCCTTTATTTACACTTCGTCAATTTAAATTCCACAAAAACTAGCCGAAAATATAGCCCCACGGTTATCTATTATATACGGTAATAATATTTGTTGAAATAGTGATTATCTTTTGATAAATTGACCGAATTCTATTTTGTTTTTTTTTTGTGAATTGAAATGAAATAATATTAAAAATATAAAAATATATATGACAAGAAGTGGTGTATATAATTAATCTTTGTGTTGGAATGAAAAATGCATGACCAGAATAAATCAAAGAATTTTATTACCGAAAATTTGTGATGCATCAAATAAATATGAATGAACTAATTCAATTGAGATGCCTTCAGCTATTTTCATGATTTTTTTTTAAATAGATGAAAAGTACCACTTAATAAATTTTTAAATTATTTCTCAACACAAAATGACCTGACAATATATTTCAATCATAATTATTTTTTAATATTTTATCCATTGTAAATCTAAGTGTTTAAACACTCAACACTTAAAGTGTTTATAATGTTAAACGCCATGAACAAACTATTGCAATTTTGCAGACGAATTTTAAACGCTTCTTGCCGTTTACCAAAATACTATAGTTTGCTTATGGTATTCAACATTGTAAACACTTAGGTATTTTATTATTAAACACTTTAAGTGACGTATGACTAAACACTTGAATTTTTCTAGATTTGCAGTGTCCTTTACATTGTTATCTAATAATTTTTAAGGAAGAATTCTTTATGTTATACTCATATAACGTCTGTTCTTTTTTTTTTTTTTTAATTTAAAAAAATAATTATCCATTATTTTTTAGTCAAGAAAAGGTCTTTCCATATCATGATTACAATGTCTCTTCAGTAACTAGTTTATTGATAAATATGACTTTTAGGTAGAGCAGAGATTTCAGAAATATCAAAATGATTTATGAGATTTCATTTATTAACTGTCCATCTTCTCTAACAGAAAATATTCCATGAATGGGAGCAATATTGTATGTTGTATAAATAAAATATCACAGATGATCGTACAACAAATGAAAATAATATGAACCGTACCTCCTTCTATTTTGAATTGAGCTAATGAAATTTTATAACACTTGAGTTCATTTCTTTAATTCAATGTTTTTTATAGAATAAAATGTGATAGAAACGGAAACAAATGCATGACAAAGCGCATTGAGATAAAGAATAAAAATCAAAGTAAAACACAACACAATCAGTATTTCGTACTCTAAAATCCGACCTCAATCATTGTATTTCAAAGAAATGCAGACGCTAATGCAAAGTACTTACTAGTAGTTCTTGCACTCTCGGCATTGCTCTACAACTATATTATCAAGATCTGGATAAAGATTAAATTAGAAAAATTTATGCGGGCCTCCTTTACTGTCCTCACTACTTTCCCGTAATGAATTCTTTCGTACCGTTTCGTTTCTCAAAGAGAAATACTAGGCTTGGTGTCTGCGAACAAAAAGCAGTAATAATTGGGACATGGCTTTATTCGACGACAGAAACAAAGTGGATTGTCCTTATTCTCTTTGTTTCCCCAAGCTTAGTTTTCTCTCTCGGCTGTTTTCAGACGTTGAATTCCTTCAAGTGTATCCAAGAAAACTCGTGCAATAAGAACACCTACTGGTACTCTAGGTCTTTCGCCTCCTCAACGCAAAGACCCGCGGGCTGTTAAATTGCGGGGCGGCGAATCGTAGTGTTGGCTGGTATACAATACTGCCTACTTATTTAGAATATTGCCAGCATACATCTGCATAAATTCAGTGCAGGTTCACCAGTATTCTTGGCCCCGTGTTGTGGCTCCCTTCATACACTGTAAATCTCATGGCATCGTGTATAAAAAAATGGGGGAGTTGCTTTCCAAGTTGATACAGACTGCGCATTTCTACTTCCATTTACCATCACCATCTTCATGAGTCGAAAGAATAATGCTCTTTTTATGTTCTCTTCTTGCCTTTATTATATCGATTCTCTGTAAGAACCAAGCCCATAAAATATCTTTAATACCTGCAAAAACGTCATTGCTCCAATCTATTGATCTTATTATTTATATTATGAAGTATGTGTTGGAGAACATAAGAACCAAAAAAATTTAATGAGTTTATATCAAGGTTGTTGGTTCATGACCGTATTTATATATTACAATAAATATCTTTATTAAAACGTTACAAGCATGTTTAATTTCAGATTTGAGAATAGTTATTTCGATTTAGCTAACAATGGTTAAACAGTAAAGTAAAATAATAATCAACTTTCTCAACTTTCATCTTGGATTTAGAATATTGAACTTTTATTCAGGCATAAAGTTTTCAAGAATACCACCTTTACTTACATGATAAATTTTTCCATTTCAATTCCTGATAGTTTGATGACCCGAAATAGGAACGAAGATTGGTCTATTTCTAATCCAATATTGAATCCAAACTTGAAAATCTTTATTCAATATGAAACCAGAAATAACTCAATCTATGTTACCACTAGGGTGACTATACACCAAATTTTATTTTTTTCTATTTTGAAGTTATACTGACTCACCATCAATCTTCAGATCTTAGACGAATTGGTAGCAATTAACTGAGAAAAAATGTCAATAAATAAATTATTTCTGAACAAAGGAAAGCTTCAAATTTCGGCATTTAAAGAATCAATAAATTAGTGAAACAAGTTTTATATTCAATATTAGGAAACATGAGAGTATTTTTTTATTTGTTTTTTATTCAAGTATAATTATTCCAATGGTTCCATTACATTAATTAGCAGTTGAATTAACAAAAAACATTTTAATTGAAAAGTATTAACTGTCAATTTTAATCAAACAAATGGTAATTAATTAATAATAGCGGGTTTATTAGTTCAGTAAATTGATTAGTGACAGCAAATCATTTTAAACAAAGCGTAAAATTAATTACAAAATTACTTTATTAATTTAAGAGAAAATTGTTACATAAATATTTATAAAAATATTGTTAATAATCTAGTGATAACTTCCCACTCTTGACAAATGAAGTTCGATGAAAATCATCATCAACTATAGTACATATATGTTTGAGAATACAATTTAAGCTATCCAAATACAATATTGATAGAATACAACAAGGGTTGTAATTTGGCTACAAAAATTTTTATCATTTTTGCTCATAGCGTCAACAGAGTTTTTCATTTTTCTTTTTAATTTGTTAAATACTGCCTTTTTTAAAGTATTTGTTTGTAAATTTTTTTTTCAATCAATTCGGTTATTGTTAATTAAAACTTTTAAATTTTTTATTTGTTTTTTTTATATTTTGATTATCCACATTTACCGAAAGTATGATAAAATATTCCATTATTGGTTATACAAAATTGATTTATCAAGAATGAATAAAAATATTTATTAGAAATTTTCAATAAATCACACATCTGAAGGAAACCAAAAAATATCAGTATTTTATGTATTTTATCATCAAATATTTTTAATAAACCACAAAAAGCTTATAATACAATGTAACCATTTTATCTTTTGTTACGTTGAAAATTTTATAAGTTCACAAAGTACTGTTTATTTTCTATAAAGTAATAAAAAAAAACTTCCCGAATAAAAACTAATAATTCTTTCACTGTACCCAAATTTATTATTTCTCCAATCATATTTATTCTGGCCCACATACCAAAAAAAAAATATAATCTCTTCTATTTCACAATCCTTTCATAATTAAAATTAAAAAATGAACTTTAAAAAACGTTTAAATAAAAGTGAGTATTAAGAACCTAAAACTAAAGCTCTAGATTCAGTGCAATAGTAGGTTCCGAGTTAAAATACATATTCAAATTGAATTGTACGCGCTACCAGACACGTTGATTCGAAATCATTCAGTGGCTCAACCAAAACTGCTTTTCGCCTATGATTCCCAAACCTTCTCATCTAACTCTCTCTCTCTATATATATATATATAATTCGTCGCTACGAACCGACTAATCGAAATTCTCGAACGAGAAGTCAATCTAACACGATCACTTTGCATATGTATCAGAATAACGCGTTAGATTATATGCCATTCAAACTGGAATTTAGAATTTTTGTCATTATTTCATTACTCACACTTAGATTACAATAATAATTATTTTATGAGTTTAATTAATTCTTTATTTATCATGTAATAATCTCAAATTGACCGACCTCATGATGAAATATTAATCGTAAAAATAACACCTCTCATTAATTTTGCTGTAATCAAAACGCCGATAAAACCACAGTTCCATTATTGTTGCTGATTCCATTTACACTCAATAATTAAATATGTATATGTATAAATGTATATAGGTGTGGATGTTGATGTAGTGAGAGATATGTTCTCAATGAAATGAAAAGATGAATACAACCCTTTAGCTTCAAAATAGCTACAGAATTAATTTCCTACGTATAAATATATCAATCAATAACATAAATTCGGATCACATTTCAATTACCCATTCAAAATGGTATACTACCATGTTGCTCAATTTTTTACCCACAAAAAATCCGTCTGTGCAATGAAACCTGAAAACTTTCAGTGAATTTTAATTACATGATTGATAAAACAGCAAATAATATTTATTCAAAAATCTATCTGTAGGACGTAATCAACTGGTTTGATCAATTTGAATTTTTTTTCAATTGTGTGAAAAAATATTTTTCACCTTTCAAATTATTTCTCTTTATGCACATTTTCGATATATTTTTTTTTTATTAAATTACCATCATTTAGGTCATACAATAACATTAGAAAGGTAACTAAACTTTTTTTTAAAACCATTCCAAAATAATCTACTCAAACATTTCATCTCTTTTTTACTTCTCTGAAGAACTAAAAATTGAAGCAAATCAAAAATCAATAATAATTTTATTTTTAATAATAGAACTTGTAGTGGTTATTTCCTGAAATGTACCACTTTTGCTGATAATGTAGAGTTTTAATACGAAAATAATATTCACTGAGATGATCAATCTTATATTTACTAAAGTTATTTTTCATCAATTACAAAACAACATTTTATCGAGATGATCCCTTGAAATGAAATTAATATTTGCCAGAAATAGAATACACATCTGTGTATTTCAATATATAGTTGGTTATTCTGTTTTGTTGTGATATTGGACGAATATCAGCATTGCTGCATCAATGTAATTTGTGAGGTAAAATTCGAGTAAGGTCTGTGCAATTATTTATGATGAACGTACGCTCACAGTGTACATATAAAATAGAGTGAGGACGAGCCAGTCATTCGTTGACATGACACCATCATATATGTCCTAACATTTACAATCAATGATGCAGCACATATAGTATCTATATTATTTTCTCCAACTCATACATCTCCTCTTTTCACAATGTGACGTTTGACATAGCTAACTTAGTCTTTCAGTACATCCCTCTATTTAGTTTTACATGCAACTATCGATTACTCAGGATCACAAGTTTGGGTTTACATCCAACAAGTTCATTCCTGTTTTAGACATCACACGTAACAGCACGATTCAATAGACGCATGTGATATCCATTCAATAATTTTTTTTTCCCCCATTCTGCACTATTTATACACTCTTACTGATCAATGTAAATACTTTTTAGTCTCATTTAATGACTACTTTATGCGATAAATAGAATAAACTGAGCGATTATGGACCATTAAAAAAAAGATAAAAATAGAATTACTCGTTGGAAATGTTTTTTTTAAGTATACATATTGAAATAGTTTATTTCACATAGTTCAACATCACTTGTATTCGAGTTCTTTCTCTCAAGCCTAAATGGAAAAATACTTCATTATTTTTAACCCATTAAATATTATTTTTTTTTTGCTAAATCCAACGGATGATGGTTGTGATGTTGAAGATGTAGGTTGGTGATGATGAACACCATCAATTATTTGTCTACAAATATTTCTTTTTCATAAAATTTATATTAGAAGCTACTTGTTTATTTGTTGAAAGCAAATTGTAATTTACTAGGAATGTTCTGTCTCTTCTCGGTGAATGTTTAATGTGGTACGCCAGTTTTGGAACATCCTACGTTTGTGATTTATTCCGAATTTACTCCTGCTTTTCAATTTTCCTCGGTTTAATTGACTGGTTTTGTGTGTTCATACAACAAAATTGTAATTATATTTCCCAGTCTTATTATCACTGTAATAATAAATACAGAACTGGTATCAAACAAAATAAACATGTGGATGTTTATAACAGAAATCAATACCTGTTGAGTAGGGTAAACTTGCCTAAATCGTACTCTTGGAGAACACATGCCTGATAGACAAAAAATAATTGAAAAAATCACATCAAAACAAGAATAATTGATTATTTGCAACAAATACCAATATTTTCACATAGTTGAATAAATGAATCTACAATAAAAATAAACAAAAAATTGAGTTTTATCAACATTCAGGATTTATCAAAAATTAAAGCCATTTTATTGAAAGACATGTTTGTTTTGTTTTTATGAAAATATTGCAGAAAATTAATGTAAAATTGAAAGTGCAATTCATTGAAAATTTAAATGTTTGATTTAAAAAAAAACTAAACTTGAAATTTTTTTGTTGAAAGTGAATAAAAAATTCTGTTCATAATTTCTGCTATAAAAGCATAAACACACTGCCACTTATCTTATTCAAATACTTCAAGAAATAGAGTAAGAAAAATATTTTAATCATATTTCCTTCTTCAATCAATCCTTATCCTTATCAATGAGTATTCATCAAAATTAATCGACTAGGTTTTATATTCTAGTATAGAGAAACTAATAAAGTCATTTCTTTCCATCATTGATTTTTAGTATTATACATTCCAACATTTCATTTGTAAATTTGAAATGTTTACTAAAACTTAAGAGATCTCTTTTATAGCTTAGTAATTCAAGTCTCAATCGAAAATGTGTCTTCTTGAGCCATAAAACTCTCATTTTATTGTTCTAATTACATTCTGTTACATTCATTATGTATATTACAATAATTAGATTTTCATTTATGTTCACAAAATGAGACTAGTACTCTAATAAAAACTAACCCAGTTTCACTAAATTTTTTTTAACTTATCAAATTATAAGGCACGTGTGTCTAATTCACTTAACATGGTTCATGGTAGAAAATAAATAGGTATTTTTCAAATACCCAGTTGTATTATCATTCAATTATCATTCAATTGTTAATAAATTTATTGTTACCAAAATAACTCTTTATCTAATAATTGATTAAAAACATCAACACTATCAATTCATTCACACTATAGAATATACATTCATTTATCATGTAAAAGAAAGCAACACCTTTTTCATCACCAATTGGATGAAAATATTTTCTTAAACTCATATGTTATTGAATGATATGGATACTTTGATTAAAACTAATTTTTCCAGTTTTTCTTCAATATACATTACTTTCACAAACATGGACTTCAAAAAATGTCAAATACAGTTCAGCAATATATTATTTTATTTTTATGTTTGTTTTGTATTTTGTTTGTGCCTTTGATAAAACTTTCTAACTCAGTCAAATGAATATAATTCATATGTTTATTTTATAATATTGATAAACATTGAAGTATTCATATTTTTCCTATCATATATATATATCTCTTTAACTTGACTACAAATTACCTCAGCATATCTCCATATCATGGATGTGGCAGATGTGGCTGATGCTCAGAACGCGCTGTAAATAAATATTCTCTATTTCATATTAAACGAATACAGTGCATTATAAGAATGCCTATAATTTAAAATGGAAACTGTACTTGCTATCAATGCTCATACACTCATGTAAAATGACTCCAGGCCAAATAAAAGGCAGTAGCAAAAAACATCTAATGCCTTCCATTTTTTCTATTAAATCTAACAATTTCATTGGTTGAAAGAGCAGTGATATGCGATTTCATTTATCAACAAATTTCTGCTTTCTTAATTCTGAATCAATTAGATTTATTCATTTTTATTATGTGTATACTTTTCACTAGCTAGTGGGAATTCTAGATGCTTTATATAGCTAAAAAATGAGTGAATAACATTTTTAGCATATTGTTTTAAACTTGAATGATCTAGACTATAGCACAGAAATAGATAACTTTTTTGAATCAACAAACTATGTTGAAATATATCAGTTGAGATCATTGATTAGTGATGGACGAATTTAGCTGAATGATGTACTATTGATGAAATCATATTGGAGATAGTAATCAAGAAAAATACTGACAAAAGAATATTTGGAAATTTCTGTTCACAGGCCCACCTAAGATCCTGATGAAGCCACGCTCACAACACGTAAAAGCTGGAGAGACAGCAAGTTTTTATTGCAGTGCCCAAGGATCTCCAGCACCACAAATCCATTGGCGCAAAAATGGCAAGAAGATTTCATGTAAGTTTGCCACTGCAGGGGCACTCCAACTGATCTTATTGTCTTCTTACTTTTCTTTTCGTTTGTCCTTTCTCGCCTCAGTGATTTCGTCTACTCTTTACTCAGCTCCTTTCTATCTTTCAAAACTCGAATCAGAAACTCTTTGCTCACTTCCGAGTAGAAGGTTTAATGGGCAAAAGAGAATCGGAAAGGATCTACGCTACACTGATTTCCTCTCCAGCTCCTAAAATACTTATAGCTTTTTTGAAAACTTTTTAAAGTGCTTGGAGATGATAGAAATTGATTAGTTGTCTATTCAACAGCAACGGCAACCAGGTATACCACCAAAACATATCTGAATGGATCTGTACTACGAATCGCTCCGGTAAGGTCTCAGAGGGATGACACAACGTGGGAGTGTGTTGCTGAAAATGGTGTTGGTGATGCAGTCACTGCTGAAGCTCAACTTACGGTCTACGATGGTAAGTCTTGACTTTTTGTTCTATTCAAAATAACAATTCAATCTTTTAAAACTGCTGCAGACACGTTAATGTAAAAACATGTCTGCATAATTAATCACCTAATCGCGCCCCTAAGTTAATCCGTAAAAGTTTAAGTTTCTCACAAGTATTCAGCACTTTTTCCGTTTCACTCTTCTTCTGTTTCTTACAATCTTGTCTTTTTCTCCCTCACCTCATTTTTACGGAAGAACGAACAGCTTAATGGCGCCCAGTTCAGTGGCAAAACGGAAGGTACCTTAATGGGAAAGAAGTACTGCATTCCAAGAAGCTCCAAAGTCTCGACGAGATCGCGTGAAATTTCGCGGAGTACCTTAATTGGTTTCTCTTACTTTTAATTTAATTTAAGACGAACAGGCTGAACAGGCGAAAGTACTGTCGTTGAGAAAAAGTGCAATGAGCAAGTGTAATTTTTTTTACGTGAACTAATCTTTAACTTATGATATGCCATTCTTTTTTAATATCTTCTGAAAATTATATCAAACTGTATTTAACTTATGACATCTTTAAAAGTATTTTACTGATTTAACGTCACGATATATTTCATTTCACTTTAAAAATCGTTTTTTTTTATTGATATTGATTCATTTAATTCTTCTGCATAAAACATGCACATATTCAACCGACACACAGATTTTTTTCAATTAAAAAAAAATGTCAACTTAATTTTTATGCAACAAATTTCTCATTTACAATATTTTGTTAACTATTGTAAATTTAAAAAAAAAGAAACAATTGTATCAACAAATTAGTTATACTTTGTAGTTTGAAAAATTTTCAGTATATATTTACACAATTCTTGTTTACTTTCAAAGCTTCCTAAAGCCTTGAATTTTGTAGTTCAAAATCCAGCAGAAGAATAGTTATTACAAAGTTACTTGATCATTTAAATACAAAGTATTATGCTGAGCAAACGATTTTTATCATTCTTGCATCTCTAAGCTGTAAAAAAAACTCAAGTTATGTTTCTGCTTATCCTGCAGCACAATTTTTCCGAAATATCAGCACTTATTCATGAAAAAGAACATTGAAAAATATTCCATTCTTTAAGGTTTCCTTCTAAGAATTTAAGTCTTAAGTTGATGATGCTGATCTAGATAATGTAATGAAAATTTACCAATTTCATTAATTACTCAATACCATTCCTCACATTATCAATATTCAAGCATTCAAAATGCTAAAACTTCTTTAGTAGTTATGACTTGACTACCTGGTAATGAAATAATCTTCTAGTGCAATTAAAAGGAGGACATCATTCACATAAACGTAGTTTCACACGGCCTATTAACTCGTCTATTACTTTATCCAACTTTTTATCTCAAGTAATCAATATTTTTATTTAGCCATTAAAAATTGGGTGAATGTTTCATCGGTGTTTTTTACACCATGAAGTGAATAATTTAGTCATTAAAATGACATTGAACCAACTAGCCTACTAGATTTATCGATATGGAGCATTTATAGAGCTATTAAACCCGACAGGGTGTATAAAGATTCAAAGAGGGAAAGCCATTATGTGGTAACCTCGGACACTTTTACAATTGATTATACTGAATACTTGGCATATTATAAATGTTCTATCATCAATGTAGAATATTACACTTAAGCAACAATTGTAAAGTCAGATAAAATTAAGGAAAATCGAAGAGGCCGAAGGAAATGAACATAAAGAGACTGGAAGAAAAGAAGTGAACAAACGTAAAAGTTGAAATAAACAGTGATAGCATGAAACGATAAAGATAAAAGTTAAATGGTAACGTAAATATCGTAGTACTTCCGAGCACAACTCCATGGTGTAGTGTATACATATCGCGACATTGTACGTATTCATACATAAGAGTAAGAGCGTAGATGAGAGTAATACGAGGACTCTACACACCACACGCTTCGAGTGTGAGTGGAAACGACAAAAATTGTCGACGACCATTACCGGCAACCGCTAGAGTGTCCTCAACATGTTCACCTGACGCGTTCAACGTGCCACTAAAAATCTGAAAACCATTACAGTACCGTATATACGTGGTAGAATGCAACGTTGCAATATCACAGAAAATAGTTAGAATCAAATTCCTTCTTACTGCTGTTATTTCTGATACTGTTTCCTTTGTTATCGTGGCTAGTTTATCGAAACAATTGTATATGCTTGGTGGGTAGCATTGTGAAGAAGATGGGTGGTGATATGAAATGGAAGAAGATGCCTTTGAATACAAGAAAGCTGCCTATTATCAAAACTATTTTGCCATGAATTCGATTACTTGATATTGGTTTGGAGATTTAATTCTATTGCGATGAAATCGCTTGAGAATATTTATAGGATTTCCGATCATCAATTTTCATTCATTCGTTCTGCTAGAGATATGATATTCAAATAACATAAGAACAATTATATTTGATCTATAAGCATGTTGGTAATCATTCTATGGTATGTAAAGTCTCATTGGAACATATAGCATTCTAAATTACCATTGATTGTAGTGATTAATGACACAATGTATTACTCACTTGGTAGTCTATCTATTTATTCAGCATTATACACCTATCGGTGTCTCTATTCATGCCTTTCTTTTACCTGAAATACTACATATTATCCTATTCATCTTTTGCCCCATTTCCCTCTTCGTATTCTGGGTCTTCTGCCCACATGTGATCCACGAGTCGATATCATGCTAGCAACTGAACCTGTTTTAATTAATTCTGATACCACCTGTGATATGAAATAGGCTCTTAATTATGTATTACGTTAATTGGTCGAAATCTAATCTCTCCTGTTACCAATGTCTGATATTATTCTGGGTATCCTATTCTTTCTACATTCGTGGAGGGTTTCATTGTTGGAAAATGAACCTTTCTCGTTGATGATAATTACTGTTGGGTATATAGAAATTAACTTGCAAATTTTCTAGAATAATCATTGAAATTTACTGAAAAAATAAATATTAAATTCATTTTTATTTGACTGATAAAAATATGATATAATATTCATGATATAATATTATTGTAAAATAATAATATTAGAGACAGTAATATTTATTTGAAACCTGATAACCATAGCAAATAACATAAAAATACATTTAAACAATAACTACTTCGTCAATCGATTGAATTTAAAATGGCTTCAATTTATTCTACAAAAAATTTATTTTGTTTTTTTATCATTTTATTGGCGTGAAAATAAAATTTTTTTGAGGAAGATCTGTTTTTTTACTTTAAAGTAAGCTAGGAGTAGACTTTGGATTTAATTGGTATTATCTTATTTTCCTCGACCTTTTTTGAGCATACTAGAATATGGTGAATATGTTTGAAAAAAAAGAGTAAGAAACTGTTGATAAAATTTTTTGTAGAAATGTTCGTGAAAGTAGCATAATTTAACCAACTGTATGACATTTTTTGTCTTCAATTAATGATACATCTAACTTTCAATATTACCTCTAGAAATCTCTATAACAAAAATTTACTTGAAATTATCAGACCTAATGTCTATAAAAAAGTCACCACAAATAAAAAAATTTGACTTTAGAGAAAATTTAATAAAAATCAAGGAACAAAATTCCCATGTGAGAAAACTTACTGAAAAATTACATTTTTATTCCTGGTCCTCGTATTTTCTGAGAAGAAAATTATTTTTTTAAATAAGTTTTTTTGTAGGTTAAATTATTTTCTGCTTATTTATGAGCTTTTTTAATATTTTTAATTTATCTTTAAAAAAGTTTTTTCGATAAAACATCCAACTTTTAGATTACATAAACCCAAAAAAAGTCATTTCATTGCTTGTTATGATTTATTTAGAAAACAAATTCAAATATTAAAATACATCAATGAAAATAAAATAGCAAGATAACTCTTTCAATACACTTTTGCTTCTCATAATTCTTGCTAATCCTTTTTCTGCTTTCCATTTATTCATTTCCATTTTTTATCTTTTTATTGGAATCAGACTCTGTCAGTGTAATTTACAATATTGGCTTATAAGCAACTAGTAATTATTCATCCAACTTCTAATAACTTCCTGATAATTATTATCGAGTAGTAAATAAAAAACAACTAATAACATCTATATGTCAATTCTCACAATGAAACGTCAACTTTTTATTACATTTGGTTTATGTTCATCGAGAAATCGGTAAACTTATTAATTTCCAACACATAAAACATGATCTTAATGTACAGCTATTATCCAAACACTTGGCTTATTGTTTGAAATACCTTCTACGTGGTAAATAGCAGTTTAGATTCGCACACAAAAGGCTGCAAGTAATACTTACTCGTCTAATGTCATAACGCTCAGCTACAACGTTCTACTGTGGCTTATATGAAATACTTAAAATCGATAAAATAACACAGGAAGGAGGATATCATAACCAACGTTACATTATACAGACCATAATTTTTTCAAGAAATTTAATATTGTTTACTGAAAGATATTTACAGTTTATTTATAAAAATAATGAAATATGAAATAAGGAGAATTGGATGCTATTAAGTATTACTATGTCAATTTATAACAAAGACTTTAAAGTGAACATGGCTTGAGAAATTTCAGAAGGCATTATTTTTAATAAACAATTTTCCTTCAATATTAAAAAAAAAAATATATATATACTAAAAAAGAGTCTATTTCAATTTGTTTTGTTACATTTTATACGACATTTTTCATCAAACTAATTCAATCATAAAGAATGAATAATTTTTGATTATGTTGGAGAAATTTTTAAAGGCTCAAATATTGGTTGAGTTAAAAAAGAAAATAATGAAGTTTAATGGGAAATTCTTTTTTTTTTTTTGAAATGATTGTTTTATTGGAGTGATTGACCATGTGAAGTAAATAAAGAATGTGATAGTTTCTCTAAATTAAATTACTTCTGAGTCAACATAAACCAGGACAATACAAATCCATTAAATAATTAAAAGTTTCTATAGAAAAGCTAGAATCTCTTCTACACATATCATCCATTGACAGTTGAGTT